CAGAGCACGCCACTCAGAGCACGCCGCGCCACTCTGCACAGAGCACGCCGCGCCACTCTGCACAGAGCCATGCCGCACAGAGAACGCCACTCAGAGCACGCCACGCCACTCTGCACAGAGCACGCCACTGAGAGCACGCCATGCCACGCCGCACAGAGCACGCCACTCAGAGCACGCCACGCCACGCCGCACAGAGCACGCCACTCAGAGCTCGCCACGCCGCACAGAGCTCGCCAGTCAGAGAACGCCGCGCCGCGCGGAGCACTGCAGCCCTGGTCCTGGAGCGAGCCTGGACTGGTGGATTCTCACCAGCACTCTCTGACCATGTGTATTTCCCTATTAAACCTCCAGCACAGGGATGCAGACCCCTGCGCCGTGGGTGTCACAGATGGTTACACCGGGCTCTTAGCAGCTCTTTGGGAAAATATTCTACATGTAGATCTGGTACAAGGAGCACTCGCACGAAAGACCCAGACATCGGGGGGGGAAAAATGGAATTCACTTCAGGGCGAAGGGATGCTACACAACTGCACTTCTTACGTGACATCTCATGAGCTATGGAAGACAGACAGAACGAGGGACACTGGCGCATGGGTGTGCTGCCTCCCGGCCACAGTGACACAGTGCTCAGAGTGGCGATGGGGGTGTGTCACACAACCTTCCCAGAGAGACAAAGACAGCGCCGTACCTTTCTCCTCTCCTCTGTGCGGGAGGGACTCGGGCCGATCCGGGGGTACCTTTTTAACTTCAGGCTTTTTGTCTGGGAATTGGCACAACGACATGATCAACACCGCGGCACAGTCCTCAGCAAACAGGCAGTTAAACGGGGGGGGGGGGGCGTTAGTGTGTCAGTAAACTGCAGTTGTTCACACATGCCTCGCCTTTCGTTTCCGATAGTAACGGGAGAGCTGACCCCCTGTTCCCGACACCTAGAGCTGTGCTGCAGAACCCGGCCTCTCAGAGTAACACAGGAATGGAAATGAAGCCACTGAGCCACTTCATATTTTACAAGCTGTGGGTTCTTCAGATTAAGGACCCTGGACCTGACTGAAGTAGCCTGAGAAAACCGCGTCTATATCACAGTTATGTACTGTAAGGCAGTATCTGTGTATAAAGGCCTTGCAACCAGCAGTTCCATCCCTGGTGTAAGAGCCAGTCTGCAACAAGGCCCAGGGACAAGGGGAGCACCAGAGGAGGTAAAACTATCAGCAGGTTAGTGATTCAAGCATTGCAGGCAGGTTAGTTCTCAATCATCACAAAGAGTGGTTTCAAGAAACAAGTCACAGGAAACTCAGGGCTGTCCCGAGAAAGTGCATGTACTCATGGGGGACATTAGCACAGATCAGCTGTGGGAGCAGAAAGACTGGTGAGCTGTTCACTGCAGAAAAGAGCACACGTACAGCCTGCCTCCCGCCTCGCACATTTATTATACATGGAAAACAAATGAATGGAAAGGGTCAGGAATCTACAATCTGTTCATCAAACCAATTACAGAAGGAACCAGGAGGTTACTGAAGAGCTTGGGTAGGTAAATGCTCCAGGGACACTACATTGACTCCTGCTGCACTTAACATCAGCGCTGCAGGCTGCTATGTCTACTGACTATTGGCATGTAAATTGCATCCTGATTGATTTGCTTCTGCAGTTGTCTGAATTTGTAGTTTCCTACCTACAGAGTCCCCTGCACTGCATCTTCCCTTGTATGTAGTTTCTTTCGAGCACAACGAGCAGCTTGCTGCCTCTTCCTCCAACAGAAGAGCCGAGCGGTAATGTTATTTATAAAACACCCAGCAACCAGCCCGGCTCGCTAGTGGTCTCAGTACAGCCCCCAAGGGTTAATGCCACAAGTGATGGAGGACAAAATGAAAGAGCTGCAAGCTCGAGAAAGGCACAGCACAGGCAGCCCTCACTAAACAGCCAGCCCTTACAGAAGGGAACATTCAGTAAGAACAACAGCCAATCACCTCGTCATTAACAGAGCAACATTTCAGATAAACAATACAGTGCAACGTGGGCAACAACACAGGAAGTGCTGCAGCATGCCTGAGGGAGCAGGTAAGGACCAGGTCGAGCAGGTCGTCAGTTCCGGCCACACCATGCATGTTTTTTTGCCCTGGGCAATCACAGACCTGGGTGCTACCAGAGATCAACCCAGCAACCATGTCACCCTGCAACTCACAACTGGCAGCCCACTGTAGCTTAGCAGGTGGGAGGGAGACCTCCTGGGAAAACTAAGGTTGCTGCTGGAAGAGGTGTTAGTGGGGCCAGTGGGGGGCGCTCACCCTGCGGTCTATGTGGGTCCTAATGCCCCACTATAGTGATGGGGACACTGTCCTTCGTATGAGACGTAAAACCAAGGTCCTGACTCCCTGTGGCTATTAAAAATCCCAGGGCATTACTCGAAAAGAGTAGGGGTGTAACCCCGGCGTCCTGGCCAAATTTCCCTCTGGTCTTTACCCATCATGGGTTTCTAATAATCCCCCTCTCTCAACTGGCTTCGTCACTCTGCTCTCCTCCCCACTGAGAGCTGATGTGTGGTGAGCATTCTGGCGCACTATGGCTGCCGGAGCATCATCCAGGTGGGGGCTGCACACAGGTGGTGGTGGAGGGGTCCCCATTACCTGTAAAGTGCTTTGACTGGAGTGTCCAGAAAAGCGCTATAGAAGTGTGAGGAATTATCATCATCATCATCATCATCAAGGGCATTGCTCAGCGAGTGGGACAAGTGAGGAGTGAGGCCACGTGCCTGCACACCTGACCCACTGCGCCACACTGTCCAGACCGGGCCTCTACTCCTCTACCCCAGTTCAGAACAGCCCCTGGGGCAGGGCTGCGGAACGACTGACCCCGCTGTTCGCTGGGCTCCAGTCAGGCCAGCTGGCGAACTGAACCCACCATTTTCTGAGGCCTTACCGTTGTGCAATTCACCCTTTTAGAAAAAAAAATCAGAACTTGCACATCCATTAAAGTGGCCCCAGAACTGTAAAACTGTCCAATTGAAAACATACTTGAATCTATGTGTGCAAATTAATTAGATACTCGAGTGCTCAGCTGGGAACAAAACCAGTAGAAGCTGGGGTGACAAGGACCAGGAGTGGGGAGCCCTGCACTTGGGGTGATGTACGAGGCCTCTCAAGATCCTCCATACTTAACCTAAAAACATGCTCGTGACAAAAACTAGGCAGGGGCCATCGTTTCTTTAAGCCTGCTCGATGGACCTGTTTCGAAGCACACTGGCCACTGGCTATCTCCATCCAGAGGGCATGGAGGGCAGCGGAGGACCGTGTCCAGCAGGACAGGGCAGTGCTGTGTCTGCAGGCGTTAGCACAGAGAGAGACAGGGTGGGAGACAGAGAGAATTACCTGTGCTGTGTTTACCCACTGGAGCTGCAGGAGGCGGGGGTTTCTTGGGTCTCTGCAAAGGCAGTAAAAGACTGAGAGTTTAACACCCCGAGGCACAAGACCCAGGACAGGCTGAGGCATAAAGGCATGAAGCGGTTAGTTCATCAACAGCAGCATTCGGACTCTGTAAACGCACTCCAGCAGAAACTGGAGCTGGCAGTGAAGAGATGGATTCCCTACAGATCAGCCCGATACTGGCGGAGCAGGAGACTGAAGCCCACTTCTCTCAAACCCGATACAGGCCCAACATGATCCCAGACTGTCCCTCCAGGACTGGGAGCATGGATCCCCTGTGGAGCAAGATCTCCTTCATGCCCCATTTCCCTTTAAATCAAGACTCCCACTGCACTGTCATCCCACTGCACTGTCACTGCACTGTCATCCAGGAGACTCAGATTACACTGCGAGAAGTTACAGCTCACCAGTATGCTGGTGGTATAATAAAAGCACAAATAAGAGAGCTGTCTGACATCATTATAGTGGGGGAAAAAGTTCTATATCAAGGTCCGAGAAAACAAGAAAAAAATCTGTAAAAACACTGGCTGCCACTTTTTTTAGTTGGCGATTTAGAGGAGGAAAAAAAAGTCCTCGTTGATCTAACCTCTTTTTCAACATCGGGCGCGAGCAGCTTCACGAAGTTGTCCGGGAACACTCCTTGCCTTCCGTACAGCTCCCCGAGCCACCACCCGGCATCCCCACACTCCTGTACGGAAACACAGGCAGAGCACACACGGGTCATGGGCAGGGCCTGACCTCTGGAGCTCCTTCACCTGCAGTTCAGTCCTCATCCACCAGGCGTCCTCATCCACACTCTAATCTCAGTAGACACTAGGCAATCCGGACTTGTACAACTAGAATCGACATATAAGGAATTAACTGGTACAGATCAATACATTGACACCAAAGAGAAAAGAGAATAAACAACGATACCCACATTACATCAAAAAGTGTTTATTGAGAGAATGAGCGCAGCAATGTCTTCCTATGAAGTTATTCTGTCACTTGGGTCTATCACTGAGTTAGCCCTCAGTGGCAGTGGGATTTGTGAAATGTTATAACTTCTTAAAAATCCCTGGAAGTGCCTCAGAGAATGACTAAATCAACTGACAATTAACGCCAAAATATAATTCACTGGCTGCCTTCTTTCGCTGGACACACGTGGCACATTCTCTTTGATCTTCTTTCACCTTACACTGTTTTCATATAGGCTTCTGCAGCTTAATTGTGTTATTGTATTTATATGCAGTAAAGTGTCAAGAAAAGAGTTTCACTTTGTGTATGTGTCAACTGACTATTTGCATTCCCTCACTGGCTGTGATATAGAACCAACATGTGATTAAGTGTCAGTGTCAAAACAGTAAGAAAAAAAAAGTCCCAAGTTAAAAAACAATTATTATTTCTACTGATTCCAAAGGCATGTACATTTGAGATCTTTTGGATTTTACAACCACAAAGTACACAGCTGAAGTACAGATGCCTCCAATTTCAATTTCACATGTGGGTCTGCAAAGTTACTCAAAACATGGAAACAGGCTGGAAGTATCGAGGGCCTGACTTGTTCTGGGACCAGGAGCTCCTGAACCCGATATTCATCCATCTGCTACTCTGCAGGAGCCTCAGGTGCTTCCCAGTCTTTCCTCGGAGAGCAAGCAGTGAACCGGAAAAGCCTGATGGTCCTTCCTTAGCATACGCAAGATCCTACAAATACACGACTGTAACCTACACAATCTGCAGTTGTCTTAATGGGCAGCAGACAGCCAAGGGCTAGAAAACAGGACTGCCTGGGAAGCTCAAGTCCCACTCATCGACTGGCAACGGAGACGGGAACAGAATATCTACGGAGCCTCACGGGGTGAGACAAACAGAACCGGGAGAGGACGGGTCACAGGCGCAAGCTAACCCAGCACATTCCTGGGGATCTGAAACGCCGGGAGGACACATTCCCACAATCGTATTCGGATGCAGGGGTTTCTTGGAGCTGCAGGATTCCAGTTGGGGAAAAAACAAATAGGGAGACAAAGGTGAGCCGGAAAGGCTTTCCATGGAGAACGGCCGCAGAACTGGAGAATTCCGGCCAACCGGCAAGCAAAGAGTCATGTTTTACTCTTCCAGACGACTGAAACGTGGGCCTTTCGCTTCCAAGACCCAGCGCTATACTCTGCACGTTTCTATAAAGGAACCTCAAGCCTAACCGCAGTATTCTATCTGGCTGATGACCTCATGGTAGGTCCAGTTGAAATTCTGCAGAGGATTATCTGGATGATTCTTTTTTGGCAACCCCTGAGAAATGACCACTTCTCAAAAAACTATAATTAACGTTTTCATGAGCACAAAGCTCAATGCTGTTTTTCCACTGACTTCAACTGACGTTTTAAACCATCGGTGGCTCTCTCCCACTGCCACGGGGGTTGACTGGCGGGGTAATTTTAAGCCACAAGGAAACGTTTGCTCATAACCTGAATTCCCGACGGAAGCAAAAGACAACTGGGAACAAAACATCTGAAATCATTCCTAAACTGGGTGGCCTCCCTCCTCCCTCTGTCTCCACTGGCTGGGCTGCAGGCCTGAAAGAGCACGGGGCTGACGTCGCCTTCGTCCCAGGAAGTCTTCAAACAGGAAGACGTGACACGGCCATCTGGGAGCTCCGCAGGCTCTTCCCTCTCAGTTGGCATTTACTGGGCAGTTATCTCCTCCCTTTTCCTTTAATTATTCTTTGTTTTGAAGTACATTTGAAAGGTACGACAAGGTGCCCCTGAGGCAGACGGATTTCCAGAAAGCACAGAGATGCGGACAGGCCGTGCATGAAGTGTAAATGCCGCATTCAAACAAAGAGCCTGGGCCAGATTCCTAAAACTGTACGCTGCCTCACCTTCTTCCGTGAAGCCATGACGAGCATCACCTCAACCTGTTCAAGCTCTTTCTGGTGAAAAACGTAATGGCAGGGTTGATTAAGCAAATTGTGTGTTAATCTACTCATGGTTTTTGGGCTCTCCCAGGAAAGAATGAAAAAGCTCTGCTCTGAAACAACACAGAGGGACAGGAAAAGTAATTGAGCAGTATTTGGGTTGTTCTTTCTCATAACCAACAGCATCACCTGGACCATATGTGCTGTGCAATAACACCTTCAGAAATGGGACAGCCTGAGAGGCCCATCATAGACCGATCCCTGTTCTTGCTCACCTTACTGACGATGGCAACAATGTCTCCTTCTTTGATCGTCAGCTCGTCTTCATTTTGTGCTTCGTATGGAAATATTACCTTGCAATACTCCTTTGCTGAAAAACCCCAAAAAAGGCAAACTGGTGAAAAACATACTAACACACAGACCAAACCAAGACAAAGTTCAAACAAATACCACAGCGTTACACAACACAAATTCATTCCTTAGTGGGGCTTGCAACTTTTGCCCGCTACATTCACAATGGACAGTATAAAACAATTAATAGATGAATTAATAGATAATAAAAAGAAGAGAAAAAACACAACGTTTCGGCCGTGGAGCTGAAGAAGGCTCCACGGCCGAAACGTTGTGTTTTTTTCTCTCTTCCTTTTTTCAGCATGGAATAAACCTGTTACTTTTTCCTTTGCAGCCTACGCATGCTGACGCAGCTACCCACCTGAACTCCTACAGTATAAAACAATGACTCCTGTACTACAGGAGGGAAGTGCATCAGAGCAGACAGGGTCCTTTGAGCTGCCCCACCATCAAGCCTCCATCTTTCTGTCCCTGCTCTGGCTCCACAGTAATAATAATAATAATAATAATAATAATAATAATAATAATAAACTTTATTTTAGATAGCGCCTTTAAAGGTGGCTTCTCAAAGCGCTTTACAGGATGACAATAACAATAAATAAGAAGACTACAACAATAAATAAGAAAATTTCACAAGACAGGACACAATTATAATTACAACAATAACAATAGAGGAGACCGTGGAAGATGGTATTAAGAAGAGCAGAGGGGTGAAGAATGGAACCAGTTAAGTAAAGGCTTTTCTGAAGAAGAAGGTTTTGAGTCTGGATTTGAAGGAGTTTAGAGAAGGTGACTCTCCAATATCCTTGGGCAAAGAGTTCCAGAGCTTGGGGGCAGTGTCTGGCAGGAGAGCTTGCACAGGTCAGAGATGTGTCCAATCTCTCGCCAGCAGCACGCAGGGGCCCGAGCTTTGTCAAGACCTGAGAGAGACCTGGCTGAGGAGCCCCAGCCCCAGTGCCAGCCCCTGGCCAATTCAGAGTATTCACAATGAACTCTCGTCTGGCAGAGGAACAAGTGAAGGTTACCTGCATGCTGAAAACAAACAGTGCATCGGCTGCAGAGCCTTGCTCAGGTGCACCCATCCGTCTTTCATCGGTTTCAGTGTGGAATGAACTTTGACCTTTCCCTTCACAGCCAACGCTCCCCGCACACACAGGCAGTGCTGCCCACTCACCCTTCGCCTTGGAGTCGGGTTCGGATCTCGCCGGAGCTTCCTGGGGTGCGCCGGCAGAGGGCACCTTCTTGGCCACTTGCTGCTGCCAGGACAAAGAGCAGAACCGGGAAGTGAGCCTGACGGGAGACGGACACGCTGCGGTGGCCCGGAGGTTAGCGCCGGATCCGGGGTTTTCACTCGGGAATAGGGAACGTTCTGTGTGGAGTTCGCATGTTCCCCCTCCCTCTCGGCGTCGAGCCATCCCTCCCAGCTTCCGAAGACATGTATCCGGGACTGTCCGGATGGGCGTGCGCATGCACTTCCCATGATGGACGGGTGTCCAGGGCAACGTCCCGCCTTTGCTTTAATATTCCAGGAACGGGACGATGGGCTCAGCCATTTCGCAGCCCACTGTGCAACAGACCTCGGCACCAGGGACAGAGCACCAGCGATGAGCTCCCGGGACACCTGCTCCCACAGCAGAAACATCAACACACGCCTTGCTGCTGTCCTTCTCATCACGCGGTTGTTCGTGTGTCTCACACTACTACCTAAGTCACTTGCAGGAATTACAATGGCCTGGTTTGAGCATCCCGATTCTGGCATGCGTTTCTCCAGCTGGGGCTCCTGGAGCCACGTGGGTGAGGTTTCTGGCTGTGTCCCCAGCTGGCGTTCGAACTGCTGGCTGTCCGGGGTCCACAGCCCTAACCACTACCCCATACGTCCCCCCCGGGAAACACATGGTAATGGATTTAAAACACAATCAAAGACAATGATTTTACCACAGGAAATACTCTTTCAGTTACCGTAGCCAATCTGTTACAGCGCACCTTCATCAAAACTCAGACTCCGCACTCATACACAAGCGGAACGCTCCAGCTCCCTAGGATATAGGGGCGTCTTCCAGAAACGCATGAACGGCGCAAACGGAATCGCGCGAAACGAAATCTACCTGCTGCATTTCATCTTTCAATCGCAGCCGACCTGCCCTCGACCGCGCAAGTCCGCGCCAGCTCGCAGGATCGCCGCTCGGGCGGGCTGGAAACGGCCACTGCGCAGGAAACGAGCGTCTGCAGCGCTTCCTCCGCCCGGAGCCGCACTCCCTCCACAGACCGGGCCGAGCGGCGAGAGCCAGCTAGCTGACAGGCGGAGAGGCCGGTCTCTCAGACAGCACGGCCTTTAATAAGCCTGGAGGGGCAGCTTGTCAAAAAACAGGCCAGCAACCCTTTCCAAAACAAAGTTAAAAAAAACAGGCAACACTAAAGGTCCTTTCAGTTCTTTCTTTCGGCGGAGATGTACAGTTTCCAGCACTTGTGCAATAACGTCTCTATCCAACTCTCTCTCTCCCTCCACAGAAAAAAAAAATAGCCATTTGTTTATGACAAAAAATGGGTGTGTTTTAGCGAACACACGCCGAAGCCAAATGAAAACCATGTGGTTAGAGCTGCACAAGGAGAAAACTGCACGTCACAGGCACATCCACCCCGGAGCGTGGATTCTGCCTGCCCTCAATCGGGGCTGAAGGGGAGCTCTCTCTCATCTCGAACCTAGTCACCCCCTCCTCAGACCCTTCACCCCTCTTCCCTGCACCTTTCCCAGCCCAGAGAAAGCCCCGTTTTTTTTTTAAGAGAAACAGTGCGAATTACCTCCAGTTCCATCAGTTTCACTTGTCCTACGTCTTAAACGGCACCCAGCGACTGCATGGAAGGGCAGCTTCCCCACTTCCCCTTCAACCAGTCAGAAGAAAAGCCAAGCCTAGCTCTGAGTCACACTTCAAGTTAAAGGAGTCAGACATAAAACAAAGCTGGCGTGCTTAATCCTTAGAAAGGCGAGCTGTAGAATCAAGTTAATTTTGGAAAAAAAAAACAGGGAAATCGCAACAACCAAGTTCCTCCTACAACTCAAGACTCCTGACTTCCACGAGACAGTCCTCGTGAAAACTGACAGGATGGAAGGAGCAAAGAGTGGGAAAAGTTTTCTGCATGTGTGCTTTTGAACTGTTGAGTGTGTGTGTGTGAGAGAGAGAGACGCGGGGGCTGAGGGGCAGGGCAGACGACTGCTCGACAGAGTGGAGTTTGTGCAGTCGGATACCGACACCCCTGAAGCACAGTTCACTTCCTGTTAGAGAGGGGGAGGAGGAGAGGGGGGTATGAGTATAAAGGCAGTGAGGAAGATCTCCCGCAGAGAGTGCAGCCACAGTCCTGCACGGTCCTCCTCTGGTCCCCTGCAGGCTGGCCCACTGCTCCACGTGTTTCATGTCAGCTGGAAGGAACGAGCAGCCCTCATGTGTCATGTGGAGTCTGTCCCACCTGGACAAGACTGTCCGAGTGATGACTGTCCTGCTGCATGCACAGAACTTCCACCCGTTTAAAGGGAGAGCTGGCAGAAGGACAACATGCACATGCACAGGACAGCAGGGGCGTCCCCTTCCTGTTCCTGCAGTCTGGGCTGTTTTCAATTGGTCTTTTCTCCCTCATGGGGAAATACACAAACTTAAAAGTCGAATTCCTTGATTGCCGAATTACACATGATTCAGAGCTTCTGTGAGAGTCTCAGTCACAGAGATAGGGCTCTCCTATGTTAGTTACCATGCAGACTCCCCTTAACACAACCATTTTATTCTAACAGCAGAAAAAATAAGTCACCACATTAAAGTGCTTTTCTTTGCATTTCAAAACTGTTGCCACAAAATGTTTTTTTTTTTTATTAAAACTGTTCCATCTCGACATTTACAGCCCAATATGCTTTAAATATTTCCTAGCCATTAGTATTCAACAGTAACATTCTGCACAGAATGAGCTGTCAACTGGCTGCAGTAGACAAAAACGAGAGACGATTTTAAAAAAAAATGAGGAAGTGAGGAAGTGATTTCCTAGCTTGGTGTTTACATAAATGGCGAAACCTCTTCCGTACGACAAGAAAAGACTGGACCCCGTGCCTTGCTCAAGAGCTGCCAGTTCCTCTTTTAACAAATCGGGAAAATCCAACTGCACGGAGATCCTAGGCTGATCTTGGACTGCAGGATCTATGCACTTTTCAGTGCTGAAAAAAGCCCAGAGAATCATTCAAACCCATGGCAATACTGTCAGAGTCCTACTGCAGGAATCCTACTTAAGGACTGGAAGCAGCACATGGCAATAGCCAGAAGGGATTTAAAGCCCATCCCAAATAAGTGCAAAGATCTCTTCTTGGCTCTGGTGTCTCACAGCGCACACATTTTTTTACAAAAGAACATCAAAGCGTTACAAACCCAGCGAGGCCCATCTAAATCACGTGGGATCTAATCGATCCATGGATCCCATCCAGCACAGTGTCTTGAAAGACGGCAGGGTAATCAAGCCTCGTGAGCATGGCTTGTTCCACGCTCCCACAACCCTCTGTGCAGACAAGTGCGTCCCGTCCACAATTATATGTGCTGTATCTCCACGTACTGCTCCCGTTTGGCTCTGGCGGTTTGTGTTTTAAGGTTTCTAATTCTGAAGGTGTTTTTTTAAGGGTTGATTTCGTCACTGCCTTTGAGAAACTCTGAGTCTTCTCGATCCCCTCAGACACCCCATCACCAACCTGAGCCTGGCAAGATTAAATGCAATGGAAAACCAAAACAACACTGTGCAGATTTTGAAGAAGCGGCTTCCCCAGTTCTACAGCTTAGAAGCCTCAGAGGGACAGGAGGCTCTGGGCGATCCCACACGATCCAGTACCCCTGTTAAAACAGCGTGAGGGTTAGCTACTGGCCAGCTGTGCTCTCCACTTAATAACTCCGAGCCGTGGGGTCCCACCTCTTACATCACCACACCTCGGCACCAACTGCAAAACTGGCACGCTTGAACAAGAAAGGTTCACGGCTTGACCTACAAAAACCAGCCTGCTAGATGGGCGATTTGTTCATTTCTGCAGTGATCTTTCTTTTAGTTTGCAGTTTAAAACAACGCATAGACCGAGGTTTGGGTTTCACACAGTGTGGAGCCCAGGCTCGGGGAGGGACAGGTGCTCCCAGGGTGCACTGATTGTTTGGACTGAGAGAAGAACAGGCTTCGATGACTCCCCTGTGTCAACAATGCTGCTGCTCTGCCAAGATCCCATTACCTGCATGTAAATGACTTCAGCAGTGCTGTGACACAATCTTCCACTGAAATCTGGCAGAGTGCTTCTCGGAAAACTAATGTATTATATTATATCTACACCGGCATTAACAAACTAACCCTAGCGTGTGTATGTATATATGAAAAAACAGTCCTTAAATACACTGCTCCGTTTTTTAAAGTTTTTAAAGGACTCTTATTCTGTATTCTATATTCTAAAGAACATATTCTTTATTATTCTTATTCTTTATTCTATAGCGTTTAGACACTTCTAAACAGAGAGGTCGCTGGCTCAAATCCCTGCTGTGGCATTTTTGCGCCAGAACACCTCCAGGTGTATAAATGGACCGAGCCCAAGTTGCTTTGGGTAAAAGGGTCAACCCAGCAATGACAGGAGCAGTTATTATTAACGTCAGTGCAGGTTCTCCCTCCGCCGCAGCTCAGAAACCCCTGCACCTGCAGTCCGCCTACCTTCCACCACTTCTTCATTCCTGTTCCGCGCACATCGGCGCTGCCTGGGGGGAAGGGAGCCCGGTGTGTGAGACGCGCAGCCTCCTGCGCTGGCGCCCCGGGGAGCTGTGAGCCTGCCGAGCTCCGCAGCTTGTGCAGCCAGCATCGCCGTGATGTCACTGCACGCCCTGGAGGCGCAGCTTCACGCACGCACGCACACACGCGCCCGAGACTCACACACCACCCGGCTCCACACCACGGGCTGCACTCTGGGGCTTCAGGCAGGCCTCCGGCACTCGAAGGGCACGGGGCTTGTTCTTCCAGGCGCCGCCACCGTTTCGGTGTGAACCAGCAAAACCGAGACCGAGCCGCAAGGAACCGCAGGCAGACAGCTCCGAGAGCATGTGGCCGGGACGCGCGTTAGGGTGGTCTCCCGACCAGCCGACAGCCGGCCCCCTCAGCTGGCGGAAGCCGCGGATCCAGAAGGCGCGGCGCGACGCGGCCGACGGGCGAGGACGTTTCCCGGGCGACGCGGGCCACTCACTTTCTCCTGGAGGCCGAGCTCGCTGTCGATGTCCATGGAGCGGGGGCGCAGCTTGATGGGCTGATCCTTGAAGATATCCCCGAACCCGAAGCCCTTCACCTTCTTGGGCTGGATCCTGGTGTAGAGGGAGCCGCTGCCGCCATCTGACTTGGTGCTGCTGGAGTCGCCGCCGTCGCTTTCTGAGCCCGTGCTGTCCTTCACGCCTGCAGAGCACGAGCACACAGCACAGAGCACAAGGTCAGCACGCAGCGCACAGAGCTCAGCACCGCCACACAGCACACAGCACA